GGGCCCCGGGGCAAGGGGGGGGCCCCAGGGGGCCCCCGGCGAGCTGCTGCTTCGGGGGGCCCCCCGGAGGTACTGGAACGGCCGGGGGGCCCCCGGGGGCCCCCTGGGGGCCTCCTGCTGCTGCTGCTGCCATTAGGGTTCGGGGAACAGCTGCGGAGGCTTTAGGGCCCCATAATGAAGAAGCTGGAGTTCAGAAATGCGCAGCAAGCAGCAGCAGCAGCAGCAGCAGGGTTTAGGGTTTGGGCTAGGGTTTAGGGTTTAGGGTTTGGCGGGCTAAGGCGAGGAGGAGAAAGCAGTCAAGGGGGCTAAGAAGAAGGCAAACAAGAGAGAGGTAATGAAACGCTAGTCAGGGCTGCTGCTGCTGCTGCTGCTGCTGCTGTGCTGCTGCCGCGGCAGCAGCAGCAGCAGGAAGCGAAGAAGAGGAAGAGTTAAATGTAGTGAAACAAGTAAAAGTGTGAATGAAATAAAAAGAGAAGAAAATAAAAGAAAGAAATTCAGTTTCAGTCGCTAGAAGGCGCAAGCCTTCATCTTCGGGTGTCTGTACACCCCAAATTATCCGCGCAGGGCCTCTCGATTTGGCGCGCGAATTAATTCCAAAGAATTCATTTTATTATTTTTTTATTATTTATTTATTATTTATTAATTTGTTATTTCTTTTTTAATTTAATTCAACGCGGATTGCTCCGTATAAGCCTCCAGATTAAGCGTCTCAGCCTTCCTGCGGTGAAGCCCGGCACGGCGGAATTTCCCGTCGGTTTCGCGCAGTTATGGCGAAAAAAAGAACTTTAAAGTGCTCCAAAGTATTCAAATTAATCAAAATAATTAAATTAAATACTTTTAAAAGTTTAATTTGCGATTTTCCGCAACTTTTATCCGCGTCGCCCAGCTTCGCCGAGGTGTCTGTACACCTGAAACCCGCGCCGCCGCGAACTCGGCGGCCGAAAAGAAAGTAAAACTTTAAAATAAAGCATTTGGAGTTAAATAAAGCATTCGGAGTTAAATAAAACATTTAATTTAATTCAAATGAATCATTTTTCTTCTTTTTCCCGCATTTTTCCCCCCAGATCCGCAAATTCCTCCATTTCTGAATTTGCAGATTCTGCTGCGACCTTTGCATGCAGACACCCCAAAAAGCTTTTTTTAATTATTTTCCAAACTTTCAAAATAAAAAACTTTTTAATTATTTTCCACCTTTTTGAAATTCCCCAACTCGACTTTTATCCAAAACCACAAAAAGGTGTTTAAAACCTATCTTGCTCTTTTGCCTTTTTACTGGAACCTGCTGCTGCTGCTGCTGCTGCTGCTGTTGCTGCTGCTGCTGCTGCTGCTGCAGTGCGAAGTTCCGCTGCAGCAGCACTGCCAGAAGGCCAATAAACCCTAAAAGGGAGTTTATAAGTTCAATAAACCCTAAAAGGGAGTATAACTCGGTTTCGAGTTTTGTGTCCAATTTGTGTTCTTTGCTTCCGCTCCTTGGCAGAGAAAACAAAATTGAAAAAGCAGCAGCAACTGCTGCTGCTGCTGCAGCAACTGCTGCTGCTGCTGCTGCAGCAACTGCTGCTGCTGCAGCAACTGCTGCTGCTGCTGCTCATATTTACATGTAATGTGCATGTCTGCAAAGGGCTCCAGTAATTATAAGAAGGCCAAAGGCAGCAGCAGTGACAGCAACAGCAGCTGCTGCTGCAGTGTGTATTGCAGACACAACGCTGCTGCTGCTGCTGCTGCTGCTGCTGCTGCCATCAAGTATGCCCGAAACCCAGCAGCTGCTGCTGCTCCTGCCTGCAAAGGCCAAAGCAGCAGCAGGCATACGCCTAAGCACACAAACTGATGCTCCTGCTGCAGCAGCAGCAGCTGCTGCTGCTGCTGCTGCTGCTGCAGCAGCTGCTGCTGCTGCAGCAGCAGCTGCTGCTGCTCCTCAGTCCTGCTGCTGAAACAGCTTCTTTCACTCATTGTGTTGCGCTATTCCTGCTGCTTCTGCTCTAGTTGTTTCTGCTCTTGCTGCTGCTCCTGCTTCTGCTGCTCTAGCTGCTGCAATTGCTGCTGCTGCTGCCGCTGCTGCTGCTGCTGCCGCTGCTGCTGCTGCTGCTGCTGCGTACCTGTTTGCCTCCTGAAGTCCAAATCGTTTTCTGTTGCTTCATCGCAAAGAGAAGAAAGATCCGCGGCCGTCAACTGGCCGTCCCAGCTGAGCACCCAAACCCTAAACCCTAAACCCTAAACCCTAAACCCTAAACCCTAAACCCTAAAAGAGCGTTTCTGCTTCGCAGCAAGTACAGCAGCAGCAGCGGAGGCAGATCCACGTGGAATTAAATAAAATAAATAAGAATAAAATGAATAAAAATGAATAATTAAAATAAATAAATAAATAAAATAAATAATTAAAATAAAATAAATAAATAAAACTCACCCCCCCCACCAAATTTTGTCTGTAAAGGCTTTGCTGCACCACCGCCGAACTCGCCGGGCCACAGAGTCCTAAAAATAAAAAATAAATAAATAAATAAATAAATAAATAAATAAATAAATAAATAAATAAATAAATAAATAAATAAATAAATAAATAAATAAATAGTTAAATAATTAAAAATAAAAGAGTTAATTAGTTTGATTAAATAATTAAATTGATTAGGGTTTAGGTTTTTGTCGAATCAAACCGAGAAAAGAAATTTATTTTTGTATTTAATTAATTAAATAAAAAACCATTTATTTATTTGTTTTAACTAATTTAATTAATTTAATTCTAGTTTAAGTTAATTCATTTAATTGATCAAATTCACTAATTTATTATTTATTTATTTGCCATTTATTAATTTATTTACTTATTAGTAATTCATTATTTATTATTTATTTACTTATTATTAATTCATTATTTTTATTTATTTATTTATTTTTTAATTTATTTATTTATTTATTTTTTAATTCATTAATTTATTTATTTTTTAATTTATTTATTTATTTACAAGTGCATGCAGTTCTCTTCTGTCTCCGCCCTCTTTGATGATTTGCTGCTGGCCCTTCAACTCCAGCAAATCCTAAAACCAAAAATAATAAATAAATAAATACTAAATAAATAAATAAATAAATAAATACTTAATAAATAAATAAATAAAAAAATAAATAAATAAATAAATAAATAAAACAATAATAATAAATAAATAAATAAACGGTAATTTTACAAATAAACAGAGAACAAATGGTTAATGAATAAATAAAATAATTAATTGGCATGCAAATAAATAAATGAAAAACAAATAATTGAAAAGCCAAGTAAGTAGAAAGTAAAAATAAACAAACAGACAAATGTAGTAAATAGAAAACAAGAAAAGTACTAATAGACTAAAAGATAAACAAACAAATAAATAATAAATAATAAATAAATAAATAAATAAAATAAATAAATAAATAAATAAATAATTAAATAAATAAATAATGAAAAATAAATAATAAGTTTACTTGTTTGAGCAAGAAGAGGTCGGAGTTGATTCCATTGGAGTTTTTGAAATTAAAAAAAGAAAAAAAAGAAACGGGAGAATAAACAGAAAACAAAAGAAGGCTTTTCCGAGGGCCTGAGCAGCAGCAGCAGCAGCAGCAGCAGCACAAGCAGCAGCAGCAGCAGCAAAAGCAGCAGCAGCAGCAGCAAAGCGCATGAATGAAGTGGCAGTAGCTGGTGGAGCAGCAGCAGCTGCTGCAGCCAAAGCCGACGCTGGAAGCAGCAGCAGCAGCAGCAACAGTAGCTGCAGCAGCAGCAACAGTAGCTGCAGCAGCAGCAGCAGCAGCAGCAAATTGCGGGCGCTGGCAGAGAGAAAAATATAAGTTTGAAAGAATAAATAGCAATAAAGAATAAAAAAATGAAATAACAATTTATAAATTGAAAATAAAAAAGA